ATGCGCAGTTTACATTCGTTTTCGCCAACATCATTACAAGTTAGCAACTAATCTGGATATGGACGTTACGAATAGATTACGCTTCATATTGCTAAGGAAAAAACTGATTCCTTCTCCTCTCTTCCGCCTCTCTCCTGCCCTTCTCCCCCTCCTCAAAAAGGAAAAAAACTGATAACTTTATGGTTACGAAACATGAAACCTCACAGATAACAATCATTACAAACAAATATGAGACCTTTTTCCAAAAAAAAAAGCTCTCAAATCTTCCTTTTTCACTTTCAATTCCTCTTGTCTTCCAAACCCCTAAAAAATTTGACCAGCGTTTGAAATGCGATGAAGCTCTAGTAAACAGGTTTAACCTGATATGGACATTTTGAAGGAAGGAGTGGTAAAACAGCATTAGCCTCAAGGCGCCTTCGCAGAAGGTGAGGCTACTTAGGGATTTGTGAAAATTGCACTTTTCTATCGTAGTCGTACAAAACACCAAAAAGCGAAGTTCCTACGGAAATCTCAATTACTATTTACAGAGAGCTATTCCAAGAAAATCCGGGGAAATTTACTAGATTGGCCAAAAAATAGCTTGGTTTGCACAATTTTGATGCTGATCTAGAAGTGATTGATAGTATTTCCAGAGGGTCAAAAATGTCCAACAGGCAGCTTAATTTTTCTGGATTGTGAAGACGTTTACATAACACTGTCTGCGACACCGGCGATACTGATCACGGAAATTCTAACCATTACACATAGAACGACCTTACTATAGGATTACGATAAGTATACGATGCAAGGTGAAACCTTATTTGCCTCAGAAGTGGGTACTATTGGTAATAGACATTTATCATATGCACTCTCAGAAAGCCATTTCACACGGCAGACATGAATTAAAGCTTATTCTTTAGCAGCAGGGATTTTGTTTCCAACGTATACCTACCCTAATTTGACAATGAGGACATATTCTGTTAAACTAAAATCATTTTGAACAGCATTTCAAATGAAAACTTTTCAAACAAATCCGTGATTTTGACGCTGTAGCATGTACCTACCGTAAACCTACAGCTAAGTCTTATCCTGGCAAACGGAATGTTCCGTAATAAACAATCCAATAACCCCATAAAGGAGCATTCTAGCAATTTTCAGGCAAGAAAAAAAAACTGTCGGTTAAGCTTTTTCAAGTCTAAACTTCCAATTTCAATAGTTCTTAATTCAACACAGGCAAAATTACTGCCAAGTACACGTTTAGAGGGAGATCATATTTTTGAATGATTTACTGTGTAGGCAAAACTTATGATTTCTTGAAAAATTTGAGTGAGAAAAAAACCACATGAAATCATTCGACAACCAATAGTTTTTGCGCGTTCAAGTTTTAAACATTCCCAAAAGGAATACCCTTCCATGTATCATTGCTTCTATGGAAATTTTTCCAAGAACTGCAGCCGACAAATTTCAATATATCCTAACAAAAGAAGCAATGAATTCGTGCAAGTCCTTATCCTTAATCCAAACAGAAAATTGAAAAAAAATTTCGAGAGAGAAAATGTGGTCCAAGAACAGAAGTGGACTACTAAAGATACCAGAGCAATTTTTTGATTATTTTTCAAATTGTGGCCAGCAAACAAAACAAAACCAGTGGCTCGGCAAGTTAGTGATTTCTATCCTATAGTCTTTATTACCGCAACCCTACAGTAAGATATAGTCTTGAACAGTGGATATGATTTTCATAATCGAAATATCCAATTACTTCAGAAGTACTAATACAGCAATTCTGAGCTCCTCGTATGCTACTTCTAGTTTTTGAGACGTTTTTGAGAAAGGCACGTACTTATCCAAAACCCAATAATTTCTTTTCAGTCGAATTTCGGCACGTTTGACGGCGATTCGCCAAACATAACCCGTGGCATTAGCGCTACAAGACAATTACCCAATTCCCGTCTCCACAGAGAATTCTTTGAAAAGCTTTTTGAAACTACAGTAAAGAGTAATAGTAAGTCAGCTTGCAACTGCAAGACTGCTAACATTTTGGATTTTTGTGCTGCCTTACATATTCTGATAATGAAAGCTTCACGAGTTTTCTACAATTTCAGCTCAACCACAGACAGCAAAAATGTGAGTTGGCTAGTTCGTGCATAATATCTCGAAACATCCCAACCTAGTGATCAATAAAAACTCTTTACTTCAAAGTATCCGTTCCAATTATAATATTGAGCTTATTGCACTGACCTTGTTGGTTCATTAAAAGATTGACGCACTCCACAACATCGATAAAAAGTTCATTTCGACGATATTTTATACCTTCACGTCGCCAGCTGATCTGCCCGGTCACCTGAGTGGTTCTATTTACTTACGAATTATTTAAACTAACATAATTTCAGTAATGGTGATATCTACCTGACTAGTGATCTGCTGTTGTTCTTCTCTTGTCACACCACGAACTCCGGCTTGTGTTATGTACGTCTTCAACGCTGCAGCATCAGTCATTTGAGGGTAGCCAAAATCGATGAGCTCATCAAGAAGCTCATAGATGAGCACAAAATTCGACCGAACGCTATCCTTAATAACATGAATGAGGGATCTGTCAGGAGTTCTTCTAACGGTAATTTTCAAAAAGCATTCTATTCAAAAAGGTAAAATAAACAAAAAAGTCCGATACCTCTGTAATTTTTCCAAAATACTCGGTCATTGTAGCAGCAAGTTTCTGCAGCACCTAAAACGTAAACACATGTGAAAAAGTGA